GCAAACCCTTGAGCAGGTTCTAAGCAGACTAACCCTTGCTCCCCTGCAACCTAACCCAATAACACAATAGTTAATACTCTAATATCATAAAAACCACGCAAAATAATTCAACACAAAATTATATAAGAAATTTCTATATTCTTTTTAACTAAGAAAATCTAATCTTACGTATTTAACAGTTTGAGCATTCCTGATTTGCTATTCTTGATAAGAAGGCCAGATTAGTCAATATTACTTGGTTTCTTTTACTCTTTCGCCTATATTTGTCCTATTCATTTGCCCATTTAAGTAACCTAAGAAATTTTTCTGTGTAACAATATACTTACTACCAAAATTGGTATAGTATTATTTTTCTTCTTCAGAGTTTATTTGTATCTAATTTTAAAATGCCAATTTCAGAATAAAATATGCAATGTTCTTATATGCTTAGTGAATATTATTAAATTTACATCAATCCTGTTGGAGGGAAATTATTACTTTCTTTTACGTTCATCTTTTACATTCAACTTTTAGTTCTTAATTTCTATATACCAAACTACCTTGGACCTCAGACCAAGATTTACATGCTAAATTTCCAAACAGCTCTAGTTTTCTTGGAAACAACTATATCTAAAAGAAAATTTCAAACTCTCTAATATTATAGGGATTTAAATTGACTCATTTTATGAATAGGAGCTATCATATTAATATTATCTATATTTTTAAAAAAAGAAATATTTGAAGCAAGGTGAAAAATAATCTCTCATCAGTGCAAAGGGTGGGTTCCCTAAATAGGCTTATTACATGACTAATTGCCATCCCTATGCTAATATACCTAGATTAAAGGAAACAAAAGAATGGAAAGAAAGAGAAAAAGATTTAGGGGCACATATGATTAAGTACAAGCCCATCATGGACAAGATTTCTTCCTAATTCTCTGTCAGCCAAGAGCTATTGTTAGAATACCTAGGGTAAGGCCATTGTATGCCTAGAATGCAGTAGCTCAGGTTCATTTTTACTCTTAAAAAGAGTTCTCAGTTAATTAAGATAAGCATGCTGATTATATCATTATGCTATAAACAACAATGCAACTGTTTGCGAGAGATCATGGACTATAAAGCCATTCCAGGCCAAACAAATAAGATCATACATCTTGTTCTTAATACTCACTAAAATAAATTTAGAGAATTTTCAAGTATTTCTTAGAACTTTTCTCATATAAAAGTGAAGGGAAATACTAAAATGGTATCATAATTTACCTTTAAATTTAATTTTAAAAATATAAAAATCTAGGAATTATTATCATTTATCAGTTTATCACAAATTTAATGTTAATACTGTGATACAACAGATACTCAATGACTCAAATATAGTATTCTAATGATAAATAACAATCTGCTTAATGCCTTATTTCCTTTATAGTTGTATATTTTTAGTGAAACATACATTAACAAGTCATCTTTAGATAAATATATATAAAATATATATAATCATTAAAAATGTTGGATAACTATAAAATATTTGCATCACTTTCATTCAAACTCAATATAAATTAATCTATAGATGAAAGTTATAAATTAATGTTTAATACTTTATGGAATCCTAATTCTTCAGGGTTCACTACAGGTTGAAGAAATATTTGACTAATCGAGTGAATGATTGATAGAATAATTAAAGTGGAAACAGAAAACAAACTGAAGGTGTGGCCTGGTAGCTAACAAGATAAATAAGATTAATTGCAACAATAATAATTGGGACAATGTTATCTGGTGACTGAGAAAAGTAAAGTAATGCCAATTAAAAATTGTAATGACATTTCAATCATTTATTATATTTTAATTTTGAGATAAAATAGATATTACATAGTTTCTCAAAATATCATATAACATAATATGCAATAATTTAAGAAATATGAATTCTGTTGAAGTGATATTACTTTAGAACTTTGCATTTTTGTGAATTTCAGTGGAAATAAAATGATATCTGAGAATTTATGAATGTAATTTGTCTTTCTCTGTTATCTTCTGAGGATAAGGACAAAGAATATGCATAAAGAAAACTTGATTTTAATTTTGACATCAGTAATGATGTCAACTTCATCAGTGATCTCTATGCGGCATAATATATAATGCTTATTCATAGATAAAATAAAAATGCTATGCTTATTTTGAATTGATAACAAATGATTATAATGCCATTTTGGTTCAAGAGGTAATTAAGTTCTTTGCAATTGAAATTCAGACATTTTGCTGTTATTTGTACATCATGAACTTCTTTCAAAGTAGCAGGAGTTCAATACAATGTCAGAGTGGATTTTAGTTATCCAAAATCATTTGGTTTTGGAGGTTCAGTTTAGAATTTAAATTTACTCTATTCATGAAATTTTCTTTACATTTGAGTTTTAGTTTGTTTTTTTAACTGACAATATTTATATGAGATAATAATGTTGAGAATTGAAGGAAATATTCTGAGATAATATGTTAAGAATTGATTTTCACTATGCATACTTTTCCAAGAACATCAAATATATTTATTACTTAATAGAGGATACCCTATACTATTTTTAATAGAATATTTGTTAATTAAGCCATAAATGAAGATATTAAACAATTTTTCAAACTATATGAAACTGTTATCTCATTACTGAATAATGTGCTGAAATAGAATCATTTTCAAATCCATTCATTTAATCACTGACAAAATTCAACAGTAATATTCTAAAAGTCAAAGACACTAAAAAATGGCATACCAGTTAATGGTATGTTTTTAGATAGAAGGACATGGATGTATTTCTTTTGTTTAAAATTTGTATAGGTTATCATAATTCTACAGATACTATATAATTTCATGTTTTTCAAAGTAAGAGCTCTAGAAAATTTTAGAAGTTAAGCGCAAATCAATATCACATGATTCTATTTGCTAACACACTTTTAAGCACGAATTATATTCAGATGTCTCCGTATTTGCTTTTGAACCTAATTTTAGAAGATTTAGGCACAGAGTGTTAGGAATATCTAAAATTTCTAAGTTGATTTTAAAGTAATTCAACAGTCTCTGCTTAAGATCCCCTGGAAACCGATATTAGAACTTAATTTAGCTTGACTGATGCCCATACAATTGCCTCATAACTGTCTCAGGACATTTTCCTCTAGGCTTTGTTTATATCCTTCCTGAGAATTTTGTCAATTTGATTAACAGGGAACAGGTGTACCTGCAGACATCAGAAAAGAATTTTTCTATGTTTCAGAATCTTTGTTTATTTCTTTTTGTTCTGTGGGTGGGTTGCAGAGTTCTTTAAAAATTGAATTATTTAATCTGTAATCCATGAACTCAAGTCTCTGAACACATATAAACCAGGATGGCTTGTGTTGGACACTATTAAAAAAAAGATGCAATTGGTCCAAAGAATCTCAAACATGAGGTTGGGTTTTATTTACACAAAATATGGAAAAAATTGGAGCTAAAAATTTATGAGCTTCATACTCCAAATTCTCATTTTGGGGGCAAAACACTCTAAAATTTAAATAAAAATTTTAACTCAATCTACCATGTAACTACATATGTTGTATGAATATATGATTCTAATACATTTTCAGTCAAATACAACTAATAATTTTCTGAAGGACTTATGTATTAATACTGAAACTATTAGGTGGATGATTATAAGTCTATATAACATTTATGTGTAAATATATACACATATTTCAGAAATATATACACACATTTCAGAAATGTGTATTATAAAAATATGATATATGATAAAAATTTTATTCTTTTCTTAACTGAATAAACTAAGCATTTTTCATTGCTAGGAAAAAATATATGACTTCATTAAAAAATGTTCAAGGAAGGACAAATATTCTTAGTGATAACTGATTGGAAAACTCCGACATAATGTAATTGTAAAAAAAAAAAACCCACATATCTAATACTTAAATTTGGATTAAAGCAAAAATATTTATTTTTGTACTTTTTAAGTGTTATCATCAATGTGAAAAATTATAATTCATCTTGGATTTAGAGTCCTCTTTTTGATATCTGATAGAATATAAATATTCAAAGACTACACCAAGCATTGACTTTGAAAGTCATTTGAGTAACAATGGAGCTCTGAGTCCAGGGATAGTTTTAATCTCCTTAATTAAGACAAAAAAAAAAAAAACTAAACCATATCAAAATAATCTATCTATTGAAAATTTGATAGTGAGGTAAACAGAAATAAAAAATGACCACAAATATTCACTTCCAGAGGGACAACAGAGTAGCAAAAACCACATATAGTGAGGCATATCATAGACTTTAAAAGTCATTATAAGATATAAACATATGTATTTTTCACTTAGGCATTTGAGTTCCTGATCCTGTGATTGAAATACACCCTACATGTCAACAAATATAATGCAATTTTTTGTGGTGATGTGTTTATTATGTGAAAAAAAATACACACTTTACATAGAAAATCATGATAGGTTTTTATACTTAAAAAGCTTATTTTTAATCAGCATCTTTTTTAAAAAAACCTCCTTTTAAATTTTACTACTTTGGTTTTTCTTATAGGTATTTCATTAATTTAAATTAGTAAAACATATTGTTTTGCTGTCTGGCCTAAGATAAATTTTCAAAATGAGGAAATAATTTTTGTATCATAGTGATCTGAACTGCTTTTAGTTTCTGATTAAAAAGAGTAATCTCTAACACATCTATAGCTTATTGACATAACCAGCATGCTTTCTGCCCAAAAAGGCATCACAGTACATTTTAATAAGCTACATGACTTAGAAGTTCATTATTCTACAACACTCCATGGGAAATAAAGAAAAAGAAAAGTAAAATTGATTGTGACTTTTGACAATTATTAGTTAGAAAAAAGAGGTAACAATTGCCAAAAAAATCACAAAAGTGAGCATGTTACCTGGCTATGACAAAGAGCACACAACTGACACCCAAGTAAGCCAGCAGAATATACATCCAGATATCAGGGGAGAGAGGATTCAGGAAGGAGAAGACGCCTGGGTTTGTACCATTGGGCTTGCGGTACAAAATACTTATTCCAAGTGTCATAAAGGGCTTGGAAAAGTCGATGACCTTCTCTCGAACGTAGGTAATAGCCAGTGGAGCAACTGCAAGGTCAGCTTTCTGTAGAGAGAAACATAAAAAAGGAAAAAAAAAAAATGCTCTTAAGTCACAAGAAACTAGCAATCATGTTAAATAAAACAAAGACTTTATACTTCAGAATTGTCTCAAAACAGTCACGTTAACATTTAAAGCATTCTTTACTCTGAAGTGAAGTATTTGATTTACTCTGCTACTCATTTCTGTGATTTTTCTAGATTAGCAAATCCACAATTATGGCAAGCACATATAGAAAGAAAAAACTGTATAGGATGAAAAAACTGGAAAAACTATCAAACATTTAGTACCTGAATTATTGTGCTATTAAACTAGCTCATAATACTTTTAATTTGAAGTTTATAAACAATATCAATTGTGATTTTCTAAATACTATGGTCAAATTGTACATAATAATAATAATGACCTCAAATTATTTAACTGATTATCAGGAAACATTTCTTTTACTGGTTTTAAAACTAAAGAGTACAGTTAAAATGTTTTAGTCTTTAAACAGTTAACATTGTGAAAAGCCTCTTTTAATATGATTGTGTTTACTGCCTCTGAGTTTTGTTTCTATCTCTCTAATTTGTTTTATATTATTTAATGAAAATCCTTGCAGCCTTGCCTAAATCACATTAGGAAATTAGTTTTTCAATTTTCACAAAGTTGCTAATTTTCCACGGTAGCTTAAATATGTTAAATTGCTAATGCTTTTCACTCACCATGTTATAACCATCTGTCAGGGATGAACTTAAGCTCTAACGTATTTCAAAAAATAATTATAATATTTTGAAATAACAAGTACTTATTTCAACCTATGATGGGAACCTATATTTCTATATTTCTTTTACATTTATAAATACATGGAGCTTTCAGAGAATATATAGAAATGCTCATCTGAAAAAGCTATAGAAAGGTGCACAGAAAAATGAAATTGGCCCTTTACTGTTCCCTTCTCTCAGGGATTGTTGAGGGACTTATAGAAGAAATTTCTCTAAGAGGCTAAGTTTGTTGACAATATAATTCTGAGAGTGCGTTTGTGTGCATTTGTGTGTTGTGGGGCGGGGTGGCATGGGAGGTGCTTGGATAGAATATCTTAGATAGTAGCAGTGGAGAAAGACAGACATTTCCTAACAACCAGAAAGGAAAAACAGATCTTCAGGGTCTTGGGAAGAGTACAATCATATTTCACATTCATGAGTCAAGGAATATCAACTTAACACTAATAATATCCCTGGAGTATTTGCTATGCAACAGGCATTGTGCTAAGAAGGCTCCTTGAATTGTTACACTTAATTATTACACAATCCTACTATTAGTCCCAGTTTCAGACACGGAAAGTGAAACCACAGATGTTAAAAACTTGCTCATTGTCACAGTGTGAATTTAGCAGTGGAACCAAGGGCATAAACCTAAGCTTTTGGAATCTATACTAGAACCAACCAAGATGTGCATCTCAGAAACTGGAAATGGAACCATGGATACATCATTCATTCATTCATGACAGAGTTTGTAGAACTGGAAAGGGAACAATAATGCATAGATGCAAGGGTGGGGATTGATAGATTATAGTCTCAGAATTTAGAGGGTCAGGTGCAGAGTTCAAGCAAATATGTTTTCCACAAAAGAGATAGCACTTCCTCCAAGACAGAAGAAAAGGAAGTAAAGATCATGTGAAAAAATAAAGAAGTTAGGGAAGGAAAGTGATAATTACAAGATTTATATATATATATATATATATGGTATTAAGAAACGAACAACATAGAGTGGTGGTTTATTCCTAATTTGGTGATTGAATTCAGCACAGTTTTATGATGTGTCACTTAACTTCATAAACTGCCCTCCACCTAGGCACACAGAAAACAAAATTTTGTCACATATAAAATGTGTGAGTGAATATGCTTTAAACTCATAAAACAGTTTTTAATTCATAAAATATTAACAAAAGTTAAGAAACAATTCAAGTAACAAATATTAAGACAAATTTACTACATTATTCCAAAGATGTTGTTCCATGGGTTTATATTAATATGATTGACAAAGCATATATCAAATTTCAAAATTTATTCAGCATTGCCTAAAAAAAGTTATATTCCAATTATTAAAGGAAAAAAACCCAGAGATATATGTAGTATGCTTTTAATTATAAAATAAATCAATCATTTGAAACAAAAGATACAGATACTTTTAACCAACTAAAAAAAAATGCAGAGTGGTGCATGTGTAGAATAGAATATTATCCAGCAACATAAAGAAATGTGCTGTGTGTTAGTCATTCAGTTGACTGTGACCTCATGAATGCATGAACTATAGCCCACCAGATTCTTCTGTCCATGCAATTTTTCAGGCATTAATATTGTAGTGGATTTCCATTTCCTATTCAGAGGATCTTCTCAATCCAGTGATCTAACCTGCAACTCTTGCATCTCTTGCATGGGCAGGTGGATTCTTTACCACTGTGCCACCTGGGAAGCCCTCAAGAAATGTGCTATCAAGCCACAAAAAGACATAGAAGACCCTAAATACAACTTGCTAACTGAAAGAGGCCAGTCTGAAAAGACCACATACTGTATAATTCCATATATATGACATTCTGGAAGAGACAAAACTATAAATGCAATAAAGAGACCGGTGAGTACCCAGACATCCAGAAATGAGAGAGTAATGAATAGGTAGAGCACAGAACAGTTTTAGGGCAGGGATGCTATCCTGTATGACACTGAAATGATGGATGCATGACACTACATATTTATCAAAATCCATAAAACTAAAGGAAACCCACCAAATGGAAGAAACAAAGAAGAATGAACCTTAGTGAAAAATATGGATAGCTAATAATATCAATAAAAGTTCATCACTTGTAACAAATGTACTACACTCGTGCTGTCTAATAATAATATGGTGTCTGATAATAAGAGCAATTGTAGGGAAAGGGGGTAAGATAGAAGAAGATATTTGGAATCTCTACTTTCTACACAATTTTATAATAAACCTAAAACAGATCTTAAAATGCCTATTAACTATTTTTAAATAAGAGAGTTTTTAAACCATATCCTCAGTTAGTAGAATTCACATTATATGTTGATTAATTAAAGCTAGGTTGTTAACTATTAAAAATAAAACACAAAATTTACTGAACATCATTTGTCAAAAATAAGCCATATCTAATGCACACCAAAGATATTTTAAAAATCCATCTTAAAAATGAGACCTCAGAACTTTCTTGCAGCAGTAAAGATGACCACTTACTTATACATTATAGCATTCTGTTAATAAGCTCTAACCTCATTAGAAACCTATTAATAACATAATAATTTTGGAATCTAATCAAGATGTTATTATATTGAAGATGTTTATAATGAGAGCTGTGGTATTTTCTCATCAAACATCATGTTATTAAAGATTGAGCATTTGGAGAAAAGACCTTGATGGTAAAATAGAATCACCCCAGAACTTTCAATCTCTGTAGATAGAGGTTAATATAATTTAATGAAAATTGATTTAGCAATTGATTTTATTTTAAAGAATAAAGTATTCCTGGATTAGGAAGAGCCAGTAGTCAAAATTGATTTTTAAAAACGATTTCATCAAAAGAAATATAAATAAGTAAACTGTTATGTGTCACATGAATAGTACAAATGAAAGGGAGAGTTCACGTCTACCATCAGATTGGGTCACAGAAGACCTTTCCAAACAATTATACTTGCATTACAGCTTGAAGAAAGAGCCTGAGATGACAAAGGTCTGAATTAGGAGGGTGATAATAGCAGGAAAAAGGAATATGTTAGCAGTAACTAGCATCAAATGGATTCATCCTGAGTCAACACTATATTGCATTCTTTGCCCATAATAGTTGCATCAATTCTCACAACAGATAAACCAAATCTGTAGTGTGATTTTCTTTCCATGGATGAAAAAACCAGAACTGTGACAGTTTAAACAGTTTGATCCCAAAGATGATTTAACCATGTTAATTTCCCACCATTTTCTGTACAATCATCCAAATACATCATGACTAATTCTTCTGCTACAGTTCCTATATTCCCCTGCCCCAAATGATCTCCCCACTTCTCCACTATACAAATTCTATAAGACACATCTCTGATTCCTTTCCTCCAATGTAGGCATCCCTGAACATGCTGTACACATTAATTTCTCCTAAGCAAATGTTTAAGCACTTATAAACTTAACCATGCAATTTAACATGAAACAATACTTCCTTGTGTTATTTCTGAGTTTTTCACAGGTAAGTCACCTAATATGAGACTTTTGAATGCACACATTGTTGCAATTGTATTATCAGAATAAGCACTTTGAAGCCTGCAGGCATTCTCTTCAATCAAAGCACATAGCACTGAACTGAGAGAATGGTAAAGTAGCTCTCCCTGGAAATTTCACAAAGATGTCTAGGCAGCACTATTTTATTAATTTAATAAGGATTAATTTACCATCATTCTATGTGAAACTCTTCCAAACTGTCTTATTTAGCCCTTGATCATAATCAATCTAACATCTCTAGGGTATTGGACAAATCTGACACCAAGGAATAGCTTAGCAAATGTTTGCTGAACAGTTTCAATTTAAGTTACTAAAATGTTAAAAGAAAATTAAAAGGAAATCACTGAGAATTTTAAAATTAAATTTTTTTCTTATCTCGTACTAGAAATGAGATTTATTTGTACATTAATATAATTCCTAGTGAACTAACCATCTAGGGAGAACAGACTAATTCTTTTTGTGGAGTTATATAGCTAATAGCAGTCCTTTGATTAATGTCTCATTAAAGATCAAAGAAGAATGGTAGAATTTATTGGTGTTAGTTCTAATTCCATAATACAAAAATTAGATAATAAAGTATATCTTCATGAATGCCACAATGACCCAAAATTTGATCATGTTAAGAAAACCTTTATTATGAAGTCCAAGAATCAAGGAACATAACAATGTTATGTTATTTGTGACCTGATCAGTGAAACATCTTATGCATACTTCTGAAAGTTCTTGCAAT